TGTCTTCCAAATTTCTTTGATTTCCCACTCAGGGTCTCACAAGTCTGCAGTCAAGGTGTTGGCCAGGGCTGTGGTCTCACCTGAGGCTAGACTGGGGAAAAATCTGCTTTCAAGGTCACTCAGAACTCAGCTGACAGAATTCAGTTCCTTGTGGTTATAGGACTATTGGCTTTAGTTTCTTGGTACCTGTCAGCCAGAGACTTTCAGCTCTTAGAGACTGCCTGCAGTTCGTTGGCATAGTTCCCCAACATGGCTACTTGCCTCCTTAAAACTAACAAGGTAGCAACAGACTCCAGAAAGATAGGACTACATCTAATGATGTAATCACCTATATCTTATCACCTTTGCTATACTCTATTGTTTAGAAGCAAATTACAGGTCATCACCATACTCAAGAAGAGGGGATTATATGAGGGTGTGAATACCAGAGGCAAGGATCATGGAGACCACCTTAAGAGTCTATCTGCCACAGTTGGCTTCTCCTTTGTTGGCTTTTTCCTCTTCCTTCCTCTGTTAGGGTCTCTGTGACCAGGACCCTGTGCCTTTCCACTGACCACAGAAATAGGGAAGGGACATGAGGTCCTTACCCAGAGAAAGTACCTCTTCCAGAAAAAACTGACCATTGTCTGTTTGAAGGCAGAGAGTCAATCAGTTTAAGCTGTCCTAGCTCAAAGGGCAGCAGAAGGACTCAAGCTGTAATGGGAGCCTTAGCTGTCTGAACATCGCTTGGCTGCTGATCCAAGCTCCAAGGACAACTACCCCTCCACTTCCAGAACTACCCTCATCTGCATTCAACCAAGGCCCCAGGGCACATGGCACACTCCTCAGCGGCACCCCTAATACATGGAGCCTTGCTCTGTCACTATTACTGTGCTTGTTTTGTGACCCCTATTAGAACTCAAGCCTCTGAAGGCCAGTACCTTCCCCAATTTCTCTTTTAATTCTTCACTGTGCTGGCCCAAGATCTGGCATATGACAGGTGCTCAAACAATTTTGAAGAAATGAATGAATTTCATAACTTAAAGACAAATGACCATGATGTCGGAGTCTAAAAAAATTAAACACATGATTTGTGAGTACTGAGAAAATAATGAGGTTCATACAACTGAATTCTAAACAGTCATAGAAAGTAGTCAAAATCGATTTAAAAAATGAAGTTGCAAATTATTGTTTTTTATAAAAGAAAAATGATAATAATTGGCAAAATGGGTATTGTCAGTCATAATGTACATTTTATTTGTCTGTAATGTGTGCCATTTTTACATTTTGATCAAAAACATAAAAGGACTGTAAAGAACATGAAGTACCCAAGTGACTCATCAATTAATCATGCCATATTTTCTTTTTTTATCTTATTGTGCTTTAGGTGAAAGTTTAGAGCGCAAATTAGTTCCTTGTTCAAAAATATATACACAAATTGTTTTGCAACATTGGTTACAATCCCCACAATGTGTCAGCACTCTCCCCCTTCCTACCATGGGTTCCCCATGTCCATTTCTCTAGTTTTCCTGTCCCTTCCTGCCTTCTTATCTTTGCTTTAGGGAAGGTGTTGCCCATTTGGTCTCATATACTTGATTGAACTAAGAAGAATGTTCCTCACATGTATTATTGTTTGTTTTATAGGC